TAAATTTGAAAAGTTTTGATTTACTGAAAATGCCTGTAAGGAGCTGTAAGACAAAAATTAGGGCATTTTTCTCCCACATACCTAAGTCTTCATCAATTATTGTAGTGGCAGAAGCACCGGCGACTTCGGAGACACCATTTGATTCTGACACAGCAGCACCATTACTTGCCGTGTTTCCATTTGAAACTACAATTTTCTATTATTTTATCAGTGCATCACAGCATTTTCGGCACAATACCTTTCATGCCTCCAGGAGTGCAGGTTTTAAGGAGTTAAAAAGCTCATTTATGCCTCTCCCTCCCTCTACCCGCTCTCCTTTCTTATATTCAATTCACCAAGACCGAGGGACTTCACAATGACCCAAATTACGTACATATATTCACCTATTCTTCGGTAATATGTTAACAGATTCTCCTCTCGAGGCTTTCTGAAAACATAGTGAGGTATTGGCGGATTCAGGCGATGGGGCAGCGGAGGAGAAAAATTGGAGTTTCCGACGTAGTGATGAACGGGGAAGGAGGGAGAGGGGGAGGAATTTCGCCGAAATCGCCTCCGCCCTTCCCCCTGAAAATCGCCTTGGGTCCGTCTATGCAGTGAAGGTGGTCTGCCTTCCCCGGCACAGCAGGCATAGAGCACCAATTCATCACCAACATGAGTCACAGAACGCGCAGAAATTGATTTCCTACAACGAATTCCAAATCACTGGCTCGAGCCTAAGAAGAGGTGCTAATTATCGTTATGATAGGCTTGCCAGAATTAGCAAATTCTACACCGTATTGCAGCCGTTTAGAAGCCCTATACTCAAATTTCCAATTCAATGGGTGACGCATAAAACATTGTTACAGCTGCAAGTTAAATGAGGACAGCGAGAGTGGAAGCATAAAAATTATTGAAATACGATAATCAACCGTGGGCTACTCCATTCGACGGAGATCTTTGATCTTTATCATATTTGTCTTCCATCGGATCATCCACTGCTTCCGCATTACTGAAATTCGCAAACGCTCAATAGAGTAATTCTTTAACATCTGGTAATTTGATCAACTTGATATGGCCGATAACATCTTAGCCGTTGTTATGACCGAAACTGTATCACTTGGTGGTCAGACTGCTTCTGTTGCTAATAATGATTATCCTATTATTCTTTTCGTTGGCATCTTACAAAGATGTAACTAGTCGAGTAGTCGAACATAATCAATAAAAATCAACCTGTGACAGCCACTCTCGTCCACCTGCATGCATCCATCCGTTTCCATATCATCACATGTTGTGCGCGAACGACGAGTATCACAAGCAAACGGCTCTGAAAAACCCCATGCATACAGAAAATAAAAAAAAAAAACCGTACTTTTTTTTGCTTGAAGACAAGACTGAGTTTTTTTTTGTAATTGTTTGGCTGACTTTTCTCTTTTCAGCCACTTCCATTACTAGATCTCCAACAGACTAATGGCCCAACTTCTACTTATTGCTGTACGTTTCTGTTTTATTTGCAAAATCTGTAGCTCAAAGTTACTTGAAACAAAAAAAAAAAAAAAACAGCAGTCCGCCCGTACTAACAAAATCACGATAAAATGCAGTAACCAAAA